ACACACACACACACACACACACACACACACACACACACACACACACACAATGGAATACTACTCAGCCATAAAAAGGAAAGAAATAATGCCATTTGCAGCAACATGGGTGAACCTAGATATTATCGTATTAAGTGAAGTCAGAGAAGGACAAATATGATGTCAATTATATGTGGAATCTTAAAAAATGATACAAATGAACTTATTTACAAAGCAGAAAGAGACACAGACAAAAAAAACAAACTTATGGTTAGCGAAGGGGCTAGTGGGGTGCAGGGGGGGCGATTGCGATTAATGTATACATACTACTACATATCAAATGGATAAATAACAGGGACCTACAGTATAACACAGGGAACTATATTCAATATCTTGTAATAACCTATAATGGAAAAGAATCTGAAAAGGAGTGTGTGTGTGTGTGTGTGTGTGTGTGTAAATATATATATCTGAATCACTTTGGTGTACACCTGAAACTAACACATTGTATAGGAACTATTCTTCAATTTTTAAAAGTGGTTATTGAAAAATATTTCCTATTTGTAGAATTGTAATACTTATTATTTTATCATTTTAGTAAATAAATTATTGGAAATATTTTTTACGCTGTTGTGGGTAAAATATAAGGTGTGAGTTCTTACACTAATTTTCTATAAATTTGGACACATAATTTCAAAATGTTGATTTCCTTTTCCTGCTGTTCACTTCAAAAAAATTTTTTTTTTTAATTTTTAGGTAGAGTCCAAACAGTATATCAGCTGAGTCATGATATTGATGTTGGTCGTTTCCAAACGCTAATGGAATGTTTAACTGGCACTTTTGAAGAAGTGAAAATTTTAGCATTTGATCTTCTAATGAAGTTACCAAAAACATTTGTACAATTTCAGGTATTTGGACTTTTCTTCTGTTAGTGTAAATGTGGTGTATGCATGAAAACTTTCTATCTTAGCAGCAGTTAAAGCAGTCTGTGGATTGTCCAGGCTCTTTGCATCTGCCTTCTTACTAAATCTTCTGTTTCAGTTATCATTAATACCTCTCCTGTTGCAGGTAGTGGAATGGAGAAGGTAGGGATGGGTAGTGGGGAAGGAGGAAATATTGTAAGAGAAACAAAATCCAAATCAGTGATCTTTGCTTTTTTAAAAAAAATTGTTTTGATAAAAAGGGAGGTGTAGGAGGCAGTAGGTTTTATTGTTTACAAGATTATTGGTAGATTTCAGTTAACTGTGGTCTCCCCAGTTCCCTTGGACATGTTAATATTCGATCAAAACACATCACTTACAGTAACTTGATTTTTTTTTTAGATAATCTCCCTGCATAGTAGACTGGGAAGCTTAGTGTAAATGAGGTAGAGAACATGTTTCTGATCTTCCAACAAGTAATAGCTAAACTGAGACTGAAACTCAGAGTACTTGAGGTTAACAGCATTTTTCTCCCTGGGTGTTGTACCCCATCCCCAGCCCCCATGCTCTTCCTGATGCCTTGCACTTCCCACCATGGGGTGAGAATCAAAGATGGTCTCAGGGGTGAAGGCAAAGCTTGGGGATGGGTCTTCAGGAGACCCTGGTACTTGGCTCTACCCTTGAAGCTTATTCTGGGGCACTGAGGTCACCAGCAGCTGTCGGGTCACTGGCTCTAGAGCTTTGCTGTGGCTCCCTGTTGGAGCTGTATACAGGCCACGGGAGCCTTTAGGGGTGGGAGCTGAGCCATGGTCTGGGCTCTAGCTATTTGGCTCTGTTTAGGTATGGCAGTTTGTAGATGCAGTGGGATTCTGTCGGAGCACATGTCAGAGAGCCTAAGGTGTCTGTTACCACTGCTTCTGGACGGCATTGCAAAATCTCAAACATTTCTGACTTGGGTTCACATTGAAAGTTGCTCCCTGGTGTCCACCTATCCTGGTGGTCTTTCAGGTGCCCTGATGTGCAGAAACTTCTTTGGTACTTAGGCTACTAACTTTTGTACTTTATAAGCATTTTTAAAGAAGATGCTTTCTCTTTCTCTGTTTCCCCTTCCACCAACCCTCGCCTCTTACCATTCATCTCACTGTAGCTTCGTATCATATGTATAACTATGCCTCATTCCTGGCTAGTATTTTGAGAGTATCTGGAGTGGGGAAAGGTATATATTATGGCACCTATATGAAAGACCTGGTCCTTACATGGACTATGAAGGCCCCTCAGGGGGGCTCTGTGTATCTAATTTGATAAACACATGCTTGGTATATAGACACAACTTAAAGAATTCAGGAAACTTAGTAGCACATATAGCTTGCTATAGGATTCTGGTAGTTATATATCTGGTCTGGCTTGTGTATTAGTAAATGGTCCCAGATTGAAGATTTTAAATTCAAGATTTTAAAATATTAGTTATGTATTATATTTTCAAAGTCTTTCTTTGGGTATACCCTATGTAATATGTAATTAACTTTTTTAATATAGCTAACTTGAAAACATTTTTTGAATGCTAGCCTAATCTCTCTAAGGATCTGTATATTCATATTTTGATGGCATATCTTTCTAATATATGACTTTACTACTCACCTAGTCTCTTGCCCTTCTTTCTTGTGGAGCTACATATCCAAGGTCTTTATATTTTGATTGACCTGAGATGATAGAACAAAGATGCTCTTTTAGATTCCAAAGGCTATTTATTTTGTTTCTTACTAACTGGTTGGTTGGTTTAGGGACTTAACTGTCAGTTACAAAAAATGGTTGAGATGCTTAATTGATTCTTTCTAATATTTATTTAGATTTGAGTTTTAGCCACTGTCTTTCAGTTTTTTAGGTCATAGAAAATTAAACAGCAAATAGCAAAGAATTTAAATAGCAATAGGCTGATATTTGAGTCTATTATTTGATATTAGAAGACATCATTAAATATTGGTATACCTAGATAATGATTTTTTCCCTTATATTAGACAGTTATGAGATAATCCTAGTAGAATCAATATTGTTGAGCAACGAAACCCTAGGTTCCAGTGTGGTGAACATGCAACTTGTCAACTGTGGAGCTGGGACTAGGATCCATGTCTCCTGTCCTCAGCCCTGTACCTTTCCATGTGTATTACAGTGAACTGCCCTTTGTTCTGTCTTCTTGAGGACAGGCTGTGTGAGTGCATGTTTAGATGAGATATAGGTGTGGGAGCTCTAATGCAGAATTTCTGAGGTTGATCTTATCACTTTATTTTTCACACATATACATGGAGCTTTGCTAGGAACAGCCTGGTGAATTTGTATTTTCATATGTATGTGTATTTTTCTCCATTGAACTAGCTGTATGGGAAGGGGGTGGGGAGAAAGGCAGGAGCATGACTCCCAGTAAAACAAATCTTGACATACAGAAGAACTCTGGGCTATATAGAAATAACGAAGATGATCTGGTTATAGTATAGCAGAATTTCTACAGGAAAAAGTATACTTTTGCTGAAGAAAGAGGTACTTAAAAAAAAAAGCTTTATCCGGACTTCCCTGGCAGTCCAGTGGTTAAGACTCTGAACTTCCAATGCAGGGGAACTAAGATCCCGCGTGCCACTTGGCGCAGCCTAAAAAAAAAACAAACTCCAGCCTATATTCAGAGAATTAATGTTCGTATCGGTTGTCAGTTGTGTGGCATAAATATGTGTTATTCCTTCAAATTAAAGAAATGTTTAAGTGATAATGACTGAGTCTCTGCTTTATCCTAGGATTCAGAGAAACTACAAGGCTTATTCCAGGCAGCACTGGAGCTCAGCACAAGCACCAAACCATATGACTGTGTAACAGCTTCCTACCTACTGAACTTCTTAATCTGGCAGAACGCTCTGCCGTCATCTCTGTCTGCTTACTTAAAAACTCAGCGGGTTGCATGTGGAGATGGGGATAAGTCTGCTGCTCTGGTGGAAAGTAACACATTAATAGGTTCGTATTGAGTAAATGACCTTTTGCTCCTATTTATCAAAACCAATATCTTACTTTCTTCACTATTAATATGGTTGGGCTATCTAATGGTTAAGCACTTTGTGGTTTTTTTTTTATTTAAGAGTTTACCAGCTTTGTAGTTTACCAGCATATAAGTATATCATGAATTTCTCCTTTTCAAATAAATAGTTTACTCAACTATATTGCGTCTAAATAGAGGATTCACGTTAAATAAGTACATATGCAAATGTACATTAATAGAGCTTTTATTTAAATAAGACCTCTTTCTCTACCAAAAATGTACTTTTTTTCTACAGAAATTTTACTATGACTATAGCCAAATCATCTTTGTTAATTCTATATAGAGCAGAGTTCCTTTGTCTGTTGGGGTTTATGTTTTAACTGGCTGTCATACCCTTGCCTTTTACTCTTCCCATATAGCCAGTTCCAAAACCTAGGGTCTGAGTTGATTTAGATCTAATGATTTTAAACAAATATTTGTTGGGGGTTCATGTAGTTAATTTTATCCTAGTAAATCTTCATTTTGGAATTGTACTATAAATAAGGATAGGTAGAGATTTTTATTAAACAAAACAGAGGTCAGATGTTGAAAGAGAGTTGACAATTATTCTCTCCAAGATAGTAGAAAAAGCCATGAAAAAGAGAACTAATAATGGGAGAAAATTAGGAGGCCATGGATAGTTCTGGTGGAAATGTGGCCATAGAGCTGGGGATAGAGAGATGACAGTGCCATGGAACATGACATGTGCCGAACTCTAATTGCTTCAGGGCTGGATTCCAGAGGAGACCCCAATAAGATGATAAGAAGAGGTCTGCAATTGGGGTGAACTGGGGAGTTCATACTTCATGTAAAGCCTTTCAAATTTAAGACATTTTTAAACTTTTTGAAATATTTCAAACATACAAAGAATATTTAAATATATAGGATTTAAATAGTAATAATATAAAAATTTCACAAGTTCTGTCCCCAAGCTAGGTAATAACACTCAGCTTAAGAAGTATTGATACAACAGCACCCATAACTTTGAAGCCTCTTCTTTATCCTAGCTCCCTCCTCCTACCATGTAATTACTGCCCTATGTTTTCCTTCCTTCCTTCTTCCCTCCCTCCCTCGCTTTCTCCCTCTCTCCCTTCCGCTGTGCCAGGTCTTAGTTGTGGCATGCAGTCTTCTTAGTTGTGGCATGTGAACTCTTAGTTGCATGCCATATGCTGCATGCATGTGAGATCTAGTTCCCCGACTAGGGATCGAACCTGGGCCCCCTGCATTGGGAGTGCAGATTCTTACCCACTGGACCACTAGGGAAGTCCCTCCTATACACTGTTGATGGGAATGTAGAATGGTCTGGCCCCTTTGGAAAACAATCTGGTAGTTTCTTGAAAGGTTAAACATATAATTACCATATGACTCCACAGTTCCTCTCTTGGGCATTGTCTTAATCAGCTCAGGCTGCTATAACAAGATACCGTAAAGTGGGTGGCTTAAACAATAGGCATTTATTTCTCACACTTCTGGACGCTGGGAAGGTTAAGATTAAGGTGCCAACAGATTTGGTTCCTGGTGAGAACCCTTTTCCTAGTTTGTAACAGCAGCCGTCTCAGTCTGTGCTCACATGGAGGAGAGAGTAAGCTCTGGTCTGTCTTCCTCTTCTTATAAGGACACTAATCCCATCCTGGGGGTCCCACCCTCATGACTCAGCTAAACTTGATTACTTCCTAAAGATTCCACCTTTAAATTTCTTTGCATTGAGGGTGAGGGTTTCAGCATGAATTTGCGGGGGGGCAAGCAGGGACACACAAACATTCAGTCCATAATGGTCATATACTTAAGAAAAATGAAAACTATGTCCAGACAAAAACTTGTGCATGAATGTTCATAGCAGCATGATTCTTAATAGCCAAAAAGTGGAAACAACTCACATGTCCATCATCTGATAAATGGATAAATAAAAGGTGGTATATCCATACAATGGACTGTTACTGAGCTGTTAAAAGTAATGAAATATTAATATATGCTACAACATGGATGAGCTTTGAAAGAAGCCACATATTGTATGATTCCATTTATATGGTATGTCCAGAATAGGCAGAAAATGCTTAAGTGGTTGCCTAGGACTGGGGAAGGTGAGAGGTGCAGGGAGGGGAGTGACTGATAATGGGTGAGACTTTTTTGAGGGGGGGAGGATGAGAATGTTCTAAAATTGACTGTGGTGGTGGTTGCACATAGCTGTGAATATCCTAAAAATCCTTGACTTGTACACTTTAAGTGTATAAATTGTATGGTATATGAGTAATAGATCAGTAAAGCCATTGTTTTTTAAAATCTGTCCAAATAGCACATGGCACATAGGCCTGGGGTCTGTTAACCCAGGTAGAGGATGTCTAGGAGAAATGATCCAGAATGAATGCTGTAAATGGATCCAGGAAGTTAGGGCAAAGACACAGTACTACCTTAACTGGAAATGGAGAACAGGCTGGATAACCTTGAAAGATCTCTTTTTTCATTCAAAAACCTCTAGTATAAAGTTCAACTGAGTTGGGTGCTTTCGTGGAAACTGTTCTGCTGTGTACAAATTTGTAAATGTGTTTTTAAACTGGCGTTATTTTGGTGGGTTTTGGTGGGGTTTTTTTTGCTTTTTCTAGTTATCAAATGCTTGTTGGAAAATCTTGAGGAAGAAGTATCTCGGGCTGAAAATTCTCTGCTTCAGGCAGCAGCATCGTTTCCAATGTACGGGCGGGTCCACTGTATAACAGGAGCTTTGCGGAAGCTAGCTCTAAAGTAAGTATATCCCCCCCGCTCTTTCCTCAGTACTCACTTCTGAGCTTTAAACACTTATTGGAATGTGTCCTGGGAAAGGAACATATTGCCTTAAAGGTAATTAAAAATTAGATTTTAAAATGTACATATAGGGCTTCCCTGGTGGTGCAGTGGTTAAGAATCTGCCTGCCAATGCAGGGGATACAGGTTTGAGCCCTGGTCTGGGAAGATCCCACATGCTGCGGAGCAACTGAGCCCGTGTGCCACAACTACTGAGCCTGTGCTCTAGAGCCCGTGAGCCACAACTACTGAAGCCCACGAGCCACAACTACTGAAGCCTGTGCGCCTAGAGCCCGTGCTCTGAAACAAGAGAAGCCACTGCAATGAGAAGCCCACGCACTGCAACGAAGAGTAGCCGCCGCTCACCGCAACTAGAGAAAGCCCGTGTACAGCAGCAAAGACCCAACACAGCCAAAGATAAATAAATAAATAACTTTATTTAAAAAAATACATATATACACATATTTTTATGTCTTAAATATTTTATAGATTGCACGATTTTGAAACCCAAATTCTTTTGACCCCTTTTGTCTATTAATTTCATCTTGAAAATGTGATTTTTGCTCTTAGTGTAAACTACCCTAATGTCTTTGTTGCAGCAGCCTGCAGTTGGTGAATGAGTGGAGACCCGTGGTGGAGAAGCTCCTTGTGACGTCCTACAGGCTTTCCGCCGTGGTGTCTCCAGTTATTCAGAGCTCCTCCCCAGAAGGCCTCATCCCCATGGACACTGATGCAGGTCAGTAAATGAAGAAAGCTAGAATTACTATGTTTTTTCCCCTAATCATTTCTTCAGAGAGATACAGAGGCTAAATAGGGGGAAAAGAAATTATTATTATGACTAGTGATATTTCTGCCTTTTTAGTAATATTTTTAACTATGAAAAAATAACCAAAATAAATAAATAGCCAGGTGATCAGCAAGGTACTTCCTCTTCTGGGATGAATTGGGTTTTATAATATATCATTTCAGAATACAACCTACCAGGGTTGTATTCTGGCAGGCAGTATAAAAATTAGAGAGAAGTTGATGGGGTTCAGTCAGAGAAGGCAACTTGTTAGAAATCTGAATAGGCAAAGACCATTGGACATACAAAGACCATTTAATTTAAAAAAAAAAAAAAATTGGAGGAGATAGTCAAAATGCCCAAAACTGAACTCATGAACTTTCATCTGTCTTTTCCTTCCCAACTCTTGTATTTTTGCAAATGGCCCTACCAGAGACCTGTTTATGCAAGTCAGGAGCCTAGGGCTGCTTGACATCTCCCCTTTGCTCCTTATATCTAGCCTGTCTCCACGTTCTTTCAGTGGTGCCCCTTAAATAGCTTTCAAATCTCTTTTTCTTTTATCTGCATCTTCTTACCTTACTGTAGGCTTTTATCCTCTCTTGTTTCCCCACATCTACTTTTATCTCCTTCCATTTCCTTTTTACCACATCCAAAGTAATCTTTTCTAGTCATATAATCTATCATGTTACACATAATCTTTACTTAACCCTGTGCTCTGCCCACCCCCTCTTCCTTTTTATTTAAAATACGTTAGTGACCAGGTCCTGTAATAGTTTTGCTCCTGCTACCTTGCCAGTCTTGTCTCTTAGCATTCTCCCTTTCTCATAGATTTCTCCTTCATGGAGTTGTTGCAGTTTAACAGGAATCTTGTCTGTTTTCCTCCCTTGTGCTTAGCACAGTGCCTGGCAGAAGGAGGTACACTATCAATAGTTGTTAGAATGAATGAACAATTCCTGAAAGTATAGGAACTAAATTCAGTGCCTGGGATGCCCTTGGTGGTATGTGTATACAGCAGTTCCCTCTTAATCTGAGGGCTATATGATCCAGGACCCCCAGTGGATGCCTGACAGTGCAGATAGTACCAAACCCTATACAGACTGTGTTTTTTCCTATACATACATACTTATGTTAAAATTTAATTTATAGATTAGGCACAGTAAGAGATTAACAATGATAACCAATAATAACAGAATAATTATAACAGTATACTGTAATAAAAGTTATGTGAATGTGGTCTCTCTCTGTTTCTCTCAAAAAATCTTAGCACATTGTGCTCGCCCTTTTTCTTGTGTTGATGTGAGATGATAAAATGCCTGTGTGATGAGGTGAAGTGAGGTGAATGACGTAGGCATTATGACATAGTGTTAGGCTACTGTTGACCTCCTGGCGATACATCAGAAGGAGGAGCCCTGACGATGTTGGTGGTTGGATGTCAGCTGCAGACGATGTTGATGGTTGCGGATCCCAGGTGGGATGGAGAGGGACAGTGTGAGGGGATTACTGGATCTGTACTACAACAGGCCAGAAGGGATTGGCCGTTAAAGGTATATACTAACATGAACGTTCCTTTGAACACCTAGAAAATCATGAAGTAAATTTATATTTTGGTGTTGAAGTAAAGTTGGTGAATGCATTTTGGAGTGCAAATGAGAGGCTTCTATTAAAAACATACTGAGTAAATCATAAACACACACTGCATCATACAATACAATACTTTGGGCCGATAATTAAACTAATCTAGAGTTGTGTGGTTGCATAGAAAATGTTACGTTATGTTCTCCACTAAAAATGAGTTGGAAGGTTGGTGGTGGTTCATGATACTAAGATACAGTTATAGATTTATTTTGACTGATAGTCTAAATACTAAAATTTGTTGGTTTAGTTTTCCTACTTAAACAGTGCATAGGAATAAAGAACATCCAGTCTGATCGCTAACATTTGGATCAGGCCATACCAATATATTTTGGGTGAGAAATCTTGAATGTTTGTCACCAGTTGTGGGTAGGGCCTTCAGAGTATGCTAAAATTTTGTTTGTTATTAAAGTTTTAAAATATCTGTCAGTCTCAAAAACTGTCTATGGTCCACTAACTTTTCCTTAATTTTGCCTTTTTTCCTCTGGTTGTCTCCATTTTTCTTATGTCTTTCCCATGTTATCTGCCATGCATTCTGAATTCTTTGAAAAAAGTCTCCCCTGAAAGCCACAAAAATGGTTCTTAAAATTTTATTCTGGTTACCCCTCTCTTTTTTCTTAATCTTTCTATGGTTTCTTTTTGGGCCAGTGTTACTTTCTCGTGGCTATCAAAATTTGTTTTTGGCAAAATTTCATGGAAGCCACAAGTGAACATAAGATGTTGGCTGAACTATTATGATACCAGTTTGGGTCTTTGTATTTCCCATAATACCTAAAATATAAGTGTGTATAATAGGTATACAGTAAGTAACCCATTCTTTGATTTGTTAATTGGTTTTAGATGATTACCTGTTGTTATTTTCTTTCAAAATCTGAGCCTGCCTAGCTCTTTATTACCTAGTCATCCATAAATTCCTTCAGCCCATGTTACTGAACCTCTGCCATGACCCAGTTTCTGTTCTAGGCACTAGCAGTTGAGCAGTGAACAAAGTCTTGCATTCGTGAAGTTTACATTTCCTAATCCAGAGAGTGCTTACTAAGAAATAAAAATGAATTTTAATATAATACTAGGACTGGAAATCTAACTTAGAAAGCAGTATATTACTTATTCATTTCAAAGCCAAATATGGAGTTTTCATGGTATTCCTGGGCCATAAAAGATTATTTTTGTTGGTAGTGGGGTTTCTTACCTCTTAAAACAAAATTCATTGAAATTTATTGCTCTTCCTTCATCTATTTGAGCACTGTATTTGAGATTCTTAGACAACACTGAGAAAAGCAATGTAAGGGAGATGGCAGCCTTTGTCTATGGACAGTTTCTGTTGTGCTTTTTTGTCCAATCTTCATCCTATTTAAAATATTCACCATATTTTGAAAGTACACTCAAGTGTCATGAAGACCTTATATAAATAATTTTCACATTATCCATCCTGTGAGTCCCTTCTTATAGTGCTAATTATCAAGTACTGAAAATTAGAAAATTTTTCTTTGGCTGTACGCGGGCCTCTCACCGTTGCGGAGCACAGGCTCCGGACGCTCAGGCCCAGCGGCCATGGCTCACGGGGCCAGCCGCTCCGCGGCATGTGGGATCCTCCCAGACCAGGGCACGAACCTGTGTCCCCTGCATCAGCAGGCGGACTCTCAACCACTGCGCCACCAGGGAAGCCCTGAAAATTACAAAATTTTTGAGGGCAAATACCCGCGAGGGACGTCTTCATGTGATGTGGAACTGGGGTTTTACATAATCTCATCTCTCTCCCTCAGAGTCAGCAAGCCGCTTGCAGACGATTTTGAATGAGATTCAGCCCCGAGATACTAATGATTATTTCAATCGAGCTAAAATTTTGAAAGAATGTGATAGCTTTGATTTGGAGGACTTGAGTGCCAGTGTACCGAATATTGATACTTCTGCAGAAATCAAAGGTATATATAAAATCAGCATTGTAGTCAGTATTTAAGCGACAAATAAAATGTGCAAAATGCTCTTTTTCTATAGTAAATCAGAGGCTGCAAATGTGTGTAGTACACTTCTAGAAAATAAAGTCTTTTTTGAGCTTATAAATGATTTATTTTGGGGAATGAGTTTATAAGACTTTACCAGAAAATGGTGTTCACCAGTGCAGTGTATAAGGTGCTTCAGCAAAAAGCCTTTGAGTACTGAAACCTGTCTTGACAGCCAGGTGATGTAGGAACAGTGATGCACAGTGAACTTGGGTTTGGGGAGCAGTCTGCTTCTCCCAGCACTATGGTTTGATGTTGTGAGAGTCCTCGTAGTCAGTCAAACAGCCTTTTAAGGAAACAAATTTATGACTCAGAGAAATGTGAGCTGCTTTGTTGTACCAGGCCTCCAGAATTCAAATTCTTACTGTTTGTTTTCTCATTAGTTCTTTTATAATTTTCTATAATGCTGTAAAAAGTCATCAGAAGCAGTAATATCTTATTTATTTATAACATATTCTACATTCTCCACTAGATGGGGATATTGTCTTGTAAAAATTTCTCTTTATGATTTTTTTTTTAATTACACAAAATAACACAAATGTATGCTTGTAATAGTTTCAAATAATACAGAGATAAATATGAATTAAAAACAAATTAATTTTGTTTTCTTTCATTTTCTTATTTCCTCCTCAATCCTACTTCATCCCTCTTTAGTATACATCATTTCAGACCAATTTTATGTATTTAAGTGTATGTACATTTATCCTTTGAGTTTAGTGGCCTTTTAAAAGACAAATGGGATTACGTTAAAAAGTTTATTTTTTTAACTTACATTTTAAATTTAATAGCTTCTTTTGGATTTTTTTTTTAATGTCAGTACTAAAATATTTCTAAAGCTAGAAGAAGAGAGTAAGGATTCTTATAGCTAATTGACCGTGGAATTTAAATATATTTTGAAAGAGAATTTGTATTTTCCTTTGAAAGAAAAGTCGGTCGTATCCTATTCTTTTACTGACATAGCAGCCACCCTCACCAAAACAAATAATAAAATACATTTATTATAGTCATATTTTATGGATAACTGAGAGGCAGGAAGAGTTTGTTTCATTAACTTCCAAAGGTTAGACTTCGGTTTTAGAATAATATTGTGTTTTATTTTTAAATTTATTTTGAATATAGTATATTAAATAAAATACTGTGATTCCTACCCATAACACATTCCCAACAAATGTTAGTTATTTTCTCCTGAATAAATATAGCATATGCCAAATTGGTTTGTTCAAGCAGATTATTCTTGGGGAAATTATGAATAAGCTTGTTCTAAGAAACCTGGGATGTGAGTAATCAAATGCCTAGTGTTGCAATAGTTTTTTTTTTTTTTTTTTTTAAGGTAAAGAAGGAAAAACATGTGACGTAACTGCTCAGATGGTGCTGGTATGTTGTTGGAGAAGCATGAAGGAAGTCGCTTTACTGTTAGGCTCACTGTGCCAGCTTCTACCCATGCGGTCTGTGCCAGAATCTCCTGATGGATTATTGACAGTGGAACAGGTAGGGTAGCTGTTTATTCCACCTGGTATAATTTCTGGTCAAAGCATAAATCACAAACTTTTATTTAAAAGTTAAATAACTTAAAAAAATTTTTTTAATAACTTAAAAAACAATTTTAACATTTTTCTTGAATAAAATCTTACAGATGTCAACTGAAGAAAGTTCATTAAAGTATAGGAATTGGATCTTGCAATCCGTTTCCAAACTTTGGCATTTTTAGAAATGTTTTTATTTTTCTAAGTTATATAAATAATGATAGCTTTTACCTCACTTTTAACTTCAGTATTAACATTTGAATTTTTATTTCTCCATTGAACACACACAAACTTAAAATTCAAATGTAAATGAAATTGTCTATTTAGTAAAATTCCACAAACCTCTTAAATTTTGCAAAGAAAAAATATATATATATTTTTTCTTTATATACTGGTTGATTATGGATCTCATGTTTCCCTCTACATTGATGATAAAGTTGTAGTTACTTTGGTTTTTTTGGCTGACTTTTAAGACCACAAAGTCAGTTCCATCTGGGACTATTCAAGTGACTTGAGTGCAGTGTTTATAAGAAATTAGCTTACCACAAGCATTTCATTTGGAAATATTTTAGCTTTATTAGATTTCTGTTTTTAATTGATTCCCTCTTCCTTTCCATATGGTTTCAACAAATCCATTTCCCACCATTTTCCAGCAAAGATACATAACATGTACTTTCATTTTTAACCTTTTTCAAATAAAGATAATTTCTCCCGTAGGGTGTTATGACATTTAAGAACAAAACAAATATTGTAGTATGCTAATGCTGATTATTTCTGTAATAACCATGTGACCAGTTCCATGGAAATAATGCTAATATTTTTATTCTCACACTCTCTGTGGCTGATATGTTTGCATCTGGTTAACAGCTGGGCTTGTGATGTTGCAAGGCTCTGAGACAGAGAACGGCAGAGGGGAACAGAACACTGCCAGCTTCATTATGTTCCTTATTCTCTTCCAAATCAAACAGGCGTTAGTGTCCTAGAGTTACTTGCAGTCCTTACTGGTGACTGGCTGGAGTGCCAGTGCCAGCGTCTTTGCTGGGGAATCCAGCTATGATTAATGGTTACTTCACTGATGTTCACCATCTCACTAAGAAGTAAATATGGGCTAGAGCCCCTTGACTTCTCAACTTTTCAAGGACAAGTTAAAACATCTAGTGTTTTAGGTTTGTTGGCCAGTGTTTAAAAACAAAATTAAGGGAAACATATTTTACTTTTACTATAACTGAGAAAGACCTGAAAGCTTCCTGTGAAAATCATTTTGCCCTGACACCTTTTACAGAGCACCCAAATCTTATGAAGTTATATGGGATATCCAGGTTAAATTGGGAATTAATTTTTTAAAATTGGGAACTAATATAAAATAGAAGAGATGTTTGTAAAACAACAACAATAACAAAGAGAGGCTCTTATAAACCAAAGAACTCTTCTGATGACTGTTTTCTTGAATAAGAAATAGAATCCTGTTTTTCTGTAAAATATCCATTTCCATTCTAATAAGGTCCAGTTATTTCTCCATGTCGCCATTCATGTGGTGACCCCACATATATATGTTTGAGAAGAAATTAATGACTGAGTGAGTGAACAAGAGTGTATGTGATGGCACTGTTCTGACATTGAAACCCTGCCCTCTGTGGAAAACTTTAGTCTTGATCATGCTAAATTTTACTAAAAAAATTAAAATGCTCTTAAAAAAATTATTAATTTTTTTACATTTAAAAAAATGCAGGGACATTTAGTCAATGAAATCTAAAGTTATCAAGAAATTAGTATTACTTATATTACTAGAGGATTCCTGCTTTTAAACATATAGTTTTGTTCCGTGAAATTCCTTTAAACTAAACATATTCCTATGTATTTAGTACTTTTAAGAGTTAAAAATATAAATGACAGAGAAGAATGCAGTCTGCATTGGAGTGCTGGGGCCACACCTAGGGTCTACCTTCCTTCCAAGGGCATAGCCGCCCTGGCATCACTAGTTCTTCTGTGCACCTAGTGGCAAAGCTACAAATGTACGCATCAACAGTGTAGGTGAATGTGACCACAAGAGACCTGCAGAGGCAGGGAAGTGACTTACGGGCAGAATGCTCCGCGTTGTTGGGGAGAATTGGGAACTTGGATTTCTCATTAACAAGAATCATAAAAACCATGATCTCCTTTTCTCTCAGTGGATGAAGGAAGTTGTTCTATAGAACCTGAAATACTGGTGTTCAGCCTGTTGCTTCTCTTGCTCTCCACTCACCCTTCACTACTGAAAAAGGAATAGGATTCTACTGCCATTTTATATTTGAGGTCTCACATTTTGACGACGGAGAGGATTTCTCATGGAACTCAGCTCCTTTAAGCCCATCCTGATTTTACAGCCCTTTGTTAAAGGGGTGACAACTTCCATCCCCCATACATGAGTATAGTTTATACTAGGCCAGCAGGTGGTGAGACTCCAATTTGGGGATTTTTGCTGCTGTACGAGGAGAGGAGCTGGTGCTCGCTTATAATTCTGAGTATTCAGTGCTGTATTCACATACTGTTGGAGCTGGAAGGCTCACAGAGATGATATTATCCAGCTCTCTTGCACAAGGGGAGACTGAAGCCCTTGGATGTTACCTGGTTTGCCCAAGATCACAAAGCTGGTTTGTGGCAGCTCTGGGACAGGAACCTGATTCTTCTGCTTCCCAGCCTGTATTCTGACATGACACAGTGCTGCCTTTGTTCTGAATGGCTCATTTAATTTTTCTTTAAATTTAATTTTCCCAGCTTCCCATAGCCAACCAGATTTTTGCAAGCAACAGGACAGTAAGACAACTTGCTACTGAACTTTATAGCAAATGATCCATTCCCTTAGATGATTGCTTGTGAAGGAGTGTGTCCTCTGCGACTTCATCAAGAAGAAAATGTGTTCATTCAGAGGCATGTCTGACCCTTCTCCTGCGCTGTAATCACATTATGAAAGGTTCTTTCATAATGTCCCTGTCCGAGAGGCAGAGATAAAACCAGCTTTGAGGGATGTAAGTCGAGACCCTTAAAGAGTGAGCAGTGCATGCAACCTTATCTCACAAACTTCCTGACTGGTGTGTGTCTGGGTTTCAAGCTGGGTGCTTTGCTGATGCAGAGCTTTTGCTTGATACATTGTTGGTCCTCTTTCCATGGGATATCGGATACCCAGTACCTACTGATTTTTTTAAACTTCCTCTACCTGGACGATCAGTTCATATGTTTATATATTTCCCCTAATATTCCTAAAAAGAAGCTTTTGGGTAGATTTTTTTTTTAATGTATCTGCTTTCTGCTTCCTAGGAATTATTGCCACAGAAATCACGTGATTAAGAATAATTACCAACTATTAGAAATGAGCAATTTTAAAAACTCCTACTTTAGATTCTATTGTAATTTTCATGATGTACATGGCTAACTGGGTTTATATGGTCCCTCAGTACCTTTTGTTACTGTTTTAGGTTTTTGTTAATGAACTAACTGTAAGTGGGATGTATGTTTATTAGCATTTGTCAGTCTTAAAGAAATTACCTTTTGTATTTTCTTTTACCAAAGTTTATTTTTTAGAAATTATGAGTAAGTATTCATTGAACTGTGCTGAATGCAGGTTACCATTTTTAAGCTGTGAAGTGAAGTTGAGCATGTAATTACATCATTTAGTCAACTATTTATTGACTGCCTTACTACAAGGGTGTTGTGGGAATATTAAGAAATAGAATATGTGGTTCTCTGAGCTCAAAGGGCTTGGAAATGTAATAGGGGATACAAGACAAATTCATTTCAAAAAGTCAGACTAAAAGGCAACTGTTAAAATGGCACATGGTTAAGGATTTGCCAGAAAACAAAGAATAAACGTTCTGGTGGGAAGATGTCTGAATACCAGGAAACCATCATCTTTGTTATTAAGTAGGACAATGTTTGGGCTTTCACGAAATCCCAAGTGTTAGTAGGAAATCACTATAGTAGAGAATGTCCAGTTTAAGATGTTAATTATCTTACTGTAGTATAAACTTTTATAAACTATTCCATTTAACCAAAGTGGAATTAGAAACTCCTGTTGACATTCCTAAGGTTGTGGCTGTGTCTTTTTTTTTTTTTTTAGTGGTACGCAGGCCTCTCACTGTTGTGGCCTCTCCCGTTGCGGAGCACAGGCTCCGGACACGCAGACTCAGTGGCCATGGCTCACGGGCCCAGCCGCTCCGCGGCATGTGGGATCCTCCCAGACTGGGGCACGAACCCGTGTCCCCTGCATCGGCAGGCAGACTCAACCACTGCACCACCAGGGAAGCCCGTGGCTGTGTCTTAAAGTAAAATTTAAATTAAGGTTTAGGGGTTAAGTCTCACTACTTGATGACACAAAATGAAAACAAAAATTGACATTTAGCAATATTGATTGCTATGCTCTACCAGGTACTCTGCTAAATGCTTATTTGCATAATCTCATTTATTTCTCAGAATAATCCTGTGAAGTAGGTTCTAGTTTTATCCCCATTTCACAGATGAGAGAACTCTGTTACTTATGTAATTAGCTTGTATTGGTAAGGAGGCTGAGTAGGGTTCCTGAACTCAGCCCTCTTGGCTCCAGAATCCCAGATCTTAACCACTGCACATGCTCTTTGTAGAAATGTCCCACCTGTATACTTGAATCTTTATGGACTTACTAACTCATAATGAGGGGAATTAGCTTTGATTTTTCTACTGTATTTCTCTCTACTATCTAGATAAAGGACAAACAAAAAATGTATTTACATTTGCCCTTTGTGGGTTTTATGCTCTAGGTGAGCATTTAGCTCCCCTGTTTGGTCTGTTGGTGAATTATAGGTGCCTAGAGACATGGCACGTAGCTAGTCTGTTGGTGAATTATAGGTGCCTAGAGACATAGCATGTAGCTCTCCTCCCCTGTGGAAATTTATACCCTGTAAATCCATAAAGCATGTTAATTTGCCTATAGAAGTAGGTTTTATGGAAGGTTAGAACCAGGATACACTAAACTTAAAAAGATAGTGATTAGAATTTCATTTTAAGAATAGAAATCGGTGCCCTTTTTTTCCCATATTTAATTGTCTTTCAGAAATTCTGAGATATATATTATTTATTAAGAAAATATTTTGTAAAGACATCATCCATGTTAAAAGAAAAGTTTTTATGAACTTTAAATAGGAGCTATGTATCTAATAGATTGAAAGGCAATCGAGTTGAATTTTCAGAGGAGTTATTCATTTTTTAAATAAAATTTTGAAATTCTTTTTCTGATTCTACTGTTGTCATAAGTTTCTACAGGGTTAAATATGTTCCCTATAGTCTGATCATCCAAGGGGAGAGTGTCAGCATGGCCCCTGTTCCCTGTCCAGCTACTCATGGACCACATTGCCCTGTTGACTCCTCCCACCCACTGTGATAGGGTACATCCCTACCTTGCAACCCTGTCTTCTTCCACTATTTTCTAGCATGAAATCTTGAGGCCATTCAGCCAGGTCTGCTATCACTCTCCTGTATAGTCTGTGTTCATTCATGTAAAAAGACCCAGTGAAGTGTCTGACAGGTAGCGGATACTTAATAAATGTTTGTTCATTTATTCTAGTATGCCAGCTTCTTCTCATGTTAATTATCCTTTTCTGTATTGGTTCACTCATGTATATCCTGTTTAAGGTCTGGCCATGAAGCTTTTTCTAATTATTCATTTCAATGCAAAAAGAGCTGTCATTTCTTAGTGCTGTTAAGCTTTGCTGTTAAGCTTCTGATGGGTACCATCCAGAATATTGGTTTTCTCTGAAAGCCTTCGGAGGACAAACACCTTGTTTTGTTCTTTGTCTACCCAGCACTAAACTGCTAAGCATTTGACAGGGTGCTAAAAAAGTACTTACTGTCTGATTAATAGAAATATACTCTCTTCAAAGGGAAAAATTCATATTAAGCCTGGGTGTTACCTAGGTGGGTTTGTTGGGAAATTAAGTGCAAAATGGAATGAGAAAAAATGGTCTACCTCTCACTTGTGTCTTTAGAATCTCATTCTGTTTTCTGAGGCCAGGATTACCTAGGGTTGAGGTCTACCCTTCAGAAGAGAGACCATCCACTGGTCTCATTCACCCCTGAGGTCTTTGATATTATTATATGCCTTTTGGTTTAAGCCCCTTTGAAGGGAGTTAAGGTAAAGGAAGCAATGAAAATCTGATCTTTGTTTAAGAACTAGATTGTAAGTCCACAGAGAAGCACTTTACCAGTAACATTTCTGTTTCCCTGAAGTATGTTTTAATATCTGTAACATTAAAAAAAGATTAAGGATGTTAGAGAGACCCCAGCTCTATGACTTCCTGTTTTTCTTTTTTGTGCCTTAGTACACCTTTTTATAAATCTTCTTTTGTTTCTCTAATAATAGAAATGATGGTCATAACAAGTTAGTTAACTGATGTTTCTTCTGGTCCTGTTTTGTAGGGTTATTGAGCTTCAGGTGTGTCTTGGGGGTTAAATTCAGATTTTGTGCTTGATAATTCTGTTCAAAATATACTCTGAAATTACGTATTGAAGGTAAAATGATAAGGCTTACCCTGACTCCTGATTTTTGACGACTAGTAGTATGTAGCTTGTAAAAAATATTAAAAATTAGGGATATCATCAGCTCTTCACCTGAAAACTTTAGCTGAAGAACATGACATGGCACTCTTTGGGGATATTAAATTGTTAGAATTTAAAAACTTCTGTTATATCCTGCTTTTCTGGTTCTTTCTTGATCTCATATCTGATTCTTATTTCTCTAAATGTATCACCCGTCTTTCTATAATCATATATATTTTGAGTTTAGAGTATGTCGTTAGCTTTCTTCTATTTGGAAATCCAGACAGAGGTCCCGTTGAACTGAATTGGTTTATAAGTTAAGGGCCTGTGCTGAGCTTTTAGATTTATTAACTCATTTTAATACACAATCTGTGAGGCAAGTGCTATTATTATTCCCAGTTTATAGATGAGACTGAGGCAGTTGCCCATGGTTACACGTTTAACTACTCTTTCTACTGTTTATCATCTCTAATGTGTGCAGAATACCAGTCACTGTGCTGAGGTAGAAGTTGTTTCTAGATAAGCCTATGTGAGCTATCTTGGGTTAGCTTGCTTTTTCACCATTCTGTGACCTGCTGGGGAGACCTGGATCAAGAGAGTGCCAGTTGTAGCTTTGGTCCTGAGTTTTATACAAAATCTGGATTCTCTAAAGCTTATCAGCTACCAAATCTTATGGTATAAATGTAGAATCAACCCAACCACTTTAACAGTTAATACTGCTGTACAAAACTTCATCAGCAACTAATTGTCAGTCATGTCTTCTTTAAAGTAGATTGTCATATTTGTTATTTGTTTAAACTTGCATGGAGAAAAGCAGCATGTATGAAAGTGATTGGGTAGCATTCTGGAAAACTCCATGGTTCTGACTCAAAGTGAAGCCTGTCAATTTTCAGGAGGCCCTTTGCACACTAAATCTTGTGTGGCCATTAATATTTGTCTATCTCTAAAAGGTAATTATTGGGAAGTATTGTTTAATGGGTTGGAGTTTCAGTTTGGGAAGATGAAAAATATTCTGTAGATAGATGGTGGTTGCACAGGAAAGTGAATATACTGAATGCCACTGAACTGTACACTTAAAAACGGTTAAAATGGTAAATTTTATGTTATGTATATTTTAACCATAATAGAAAAAAATTTTTTTTGAAGAGGGGAGTAAAAGGTAATTACTTCACCTAGGCCTAGGTTTGTGAGGTTGTCACCTTGTGTGATTTGCTGTTGGTGTTGAATGATATGAGCTAACAAAGAGAACACAGCAAGATTTGTGAAGCTGGCATAGGGAGGCAGTTCTAGCCTAGCAGTTAAAGATGGCCAACTCTGGAGCCAGATTGCCTGGATTTATGTACTGGTTCTACCATCTACTTGCTGTATGACCTTGAATAAGTTACTTGCCCTTTCTGGGCCTCATTTTTCCCAGTTGTAGAGTGGAGATAATAATAGTGCTTTTTTCATGGAATTGTTGTGAGAATTAATAGTGATAGTATAAAACGCTTAAAATATTACCTGTTGCATAATAGGTGCTAAGTGGATGGGCATTGAGACCTGAGTTCTAAATAATCTTACTAAAAATAAATAAATAAATAAATAAATAAATAAATGGCGTTACTGACATAAATACATCTGTCAGTGTAAACATAAATGGCATATTTATTTTTGATTTTGTTTTGAAGGTAAAAGAAATAGGAGATTACTTTAAACAGCACCTTTTACAGTCCAGGCACAGAGGAGCATTTGAACTGGCTTACACTGGCTTTGTGAAACTCACCGAAATCCTAAACAGGTAAAACAAAGCAAATATCCCTTTAATTTTAAAAAGATTAAATGCACAAACCATGTGCTCAAAGTAGAATTTAGTTGTGTCTTTTGATGTTTAAAAGAACAGGACTTAGTTGGCTTCAAAACTCTTGGAAGAAATTGTTTTCTTAGGTTTCATTGTATGATTTACTGCAGATGATGGAGTGAAATGTCCAAACCCAGTCACTCTCTTATTGAAACGTGATTTGACACAAACTCAAAGATTTTGCTAAAAATAGATTTGAAGTTACCATTTATTTTCATTGAATGAAATGACTGTTTTGTCTGTTTGAAAATTACTTGGCTTGTGGAATAAAATAAGCCCTCCAGTTTTTTGGATTTGTGTATATTACAGACAGAGAAACACTTAAGGATTTTGTGTTTTTCTTCGTAATTTTATCTTATAGAAAAATTTAAAAGAACAGTAAATAGACCAAAAATTATAAAGGACTTTTCCCCCTTACTTGGAAAAATACTTAAGTAGATTTCGTACATTTAGCCAAATGTTTTTTTTTTTTTTTGACATTATAGGTGCTGATAATTTCATTCATTCATATAATAGATTTCCTCCAAAGAGCTTGTGAGGAAACCTTAAATTACTTAATGACTAAGTGTTCATGGCAAGTGTTCTCTAAATAAAAGGTAGTATTTTCCAGGAAAACATTTCCATTGCCTGGAAACTTTTTGAAATGAAGCAGAGTTCTGCCAGCCGTGTAGCCTTAGCAAACATTTTATTTTGGGCCGTTAAGACATCTACTCCTTGAATATTTTTGAAGCATTTTTTTCACACTCCTGGTACAACATTTATAAAACATTTTGGCAGTTATGGGCTGCACAGAATATCTTTAAATGATACATTAAAAAATGTCCTTGACATTAAACTGCTGATCTTGAAAATATTTTGTTGTCTTTGCAGCTCTTTCTTTCCAGTGTAGACATGACTTAAGAATATTTTTTTCTCACAAAACAACACACTTCCCTCCCTTCAAATCAATTAACAAATATATATATTGAACACTAGCTGTGTGCTTAGTACTGTGCTTGGCTTGGAGGATATAATACTTCTTTATGAGACAAGGTTCCTGTTCTCAAAGAGCATATGGTTTAGTTGGGGAAATAAGCAGGGATGAAATTCAAAATATTTAACAAATGGTACGTCATGGGCACTGACTGGTCAGAACAGACACTGGCTGTAAGCACCCAAGATTGCTGTCTGCATGGATGTGTGTTAGCTGAACACCAGCCTGGAAAGTGAAACCAAGACACTTGAACAAGATGAGCCAATGTAATTGTCAAAATTTGGGTGAAATTTACAAATTCTGTAGGCATAGCAGAGAGAAAGCAGCAAAGAAAGGCTGGGAGGGCTTACTGGAGGAGGTGGAATTTGTGCTAATGCATGAGTAAGGTTTAAGTAGATAGGAGGAGAAAGGAGGAGACTTTATGAGTAAATGTTCAGAGGCTAGAACCAGCATGGCATATTGTTAGGTGAGTAAATGAGCCAGGCTGATTTGTGGTGGTGGTGCTGGTGGTAGAGTTACTAGGCAATATCATACATTTGGATAGATGGAGGTCAAATTATGGATACCTAGAAAACAGATTTGCTGTAGTAGGGATGGAGAGAGGGATTGAACATTTTCGACCTGAAATAGATCATAGGAGGCATGTAGAATGGAGAAATAGCAATAATCTATGACACGAGGTCTTAGTTCTACTTACATCCATTCTGTTTATTGGCAATGAGATTGTACAAGTTACTCTCCTCAGCCTCTGATTTCTTCATCTATAAAGTAAGGAAAAGAATATTTGCCCTGTTGACAGATCTCTCTGGCCTTTGTTATATGGATCAAGTAAGATACCTATGTATGAAGACCCTTTTGCATTATTAAACTTTCTACAAATGTAAAACATTATGAGATTGATGTTGGTTATGGTGTTGGTGCATCAATGTAGTGTTTCCTTTGGAAGTGTTAGGTTAGATAGATTGTAGTGACAGATAGTAGTGAGAAGAGACTGGCATCGGCTCTAACAATCTAGAGCTGAGGTGATGAGAGCTTCCTCTGAGTCAATGGCTCTGGGAATGGAGGGAAAGAAGTGGCATCTCAATTAATATTTATCCCCACATAGTAACAACTCTACACATGACGTTTTGAATGCTTAGAAGAGAAGCTGTGGACATCTCTTATTTAATGGTTTGATGTGTCAAGAATTAGGGCAGTGCCTAGCTGGGTGATTCTTCTCCTTGGGGTATTTATCGAACTCAATTGGTGGTGTTCAGCTGACAGATGAACTGGTCAGGAGGGTCCAAGACAGCTTTATTCACATTATGGCACCTTGGTGGGATGGCTAGAAGATAGGGCCTAGTTGGGACTGCATGTGGCCTCTCAGCATGGCAGTCTTGGGGTAGCTGAAATTCTTATATGGCAGCTGGCTTCCTTCAGAGAGGCTATTCCAAGAGAACTGGGCAGGCTTCATGGTCTTTTCTGACCTAGCCTTGGAAGTCTCGTGGCATTGCTTCAGTCACATTGTTTTGGTTCTAAATGAGTCTTAAGGCCAGTTGGATTCAAGGGGAGAGGAATTAAACTTCACCATTTGATGGTAAAGTGGCAAGATTGTATTGTAGAAATATGTGTGGGATGGGAGATATAGTGGTGGCCATCTTTGAAGAATGCAATCTGCCACGTGAAGTAAACTGAATGTGTGTGATAGAGGTCCCCAGGGAGTCCACGACTGTTCCTGTGGTTTAATTTTTGGTGACCAGAAAAGTGGAATTGATGTTACCAAAGGCAAGGAAACTGAAAGAGGAGATTACTTTGATAATGATGAACACATTTGTTTTGTATGTGTTGAGTGTGACATGATGGTGGCATATCCTGGTGGAAATATTTAAGTCAGAACTGGGAGATAGGGGATTAGTTTGGGTGCTCTTGCAGAAACAGAGATGTAGATTTATGCCGTCTTCGTAAATATCATAGCTAGTAGGATTGCAGTCTTCAGGGAAGAGCTTAAAAGGAGAAAAGAACAGAGGACCAAGGACAGAGGCTTTTGAACAACTGTACTTTGTAGTTGAAAGTACAGTTGAAGGCATTCCAAATAAATGGAGTGGGGAGATGAGGCAAGGCCCAGTGCCTGGTATCTCAGCCACTCCTAATCTGCTGTAAAGATCTCCTCATCGCTGTCACTATTGGCTTTTAACCAACCTGTTATGAGTTCCCAACTGTTGCTTCCAAACCAAGTGGTTCTTGATCCCTTTGGAGACATTTCAGATCTGCTGAATAGAATGTTTTACGGAGAACGTCTTTGCAGTATGTGTGGCTTCCTTTTGTTTGGTTTTTATTTTTAAAAGCAAATGTATTTCTTTTGGATCCTTCTGAAAGCTTTTAAGTTATGAAAAATTTATTTAGGCATACAGTGTTTTAAAGTTTGCAGAAAGAAATCTGGGCTTTCAGGAAAATCCACTGAAATGGAGGCCAACTGCTGGCCACCTCTTGAACTACAGCTGTGTTAAGGAAGCAAACACTTAAAGAGATTAATGGGTAAATAACCGAAGAGTTAAACAAGAGCCACATTGTTTGAATTGGTGTTCAACAGGATTATTCAGAATGTCTTCAAATGTAAATTGACTTCACTATTAAACAATCATCTAAGAATAAATAGGAATGGAAGACACTGTTCTTTTTTCTGGGAATTTTTTGAAAGCAACACTTGCGCGCGCAAACGCACACACACAATATGTTGAGTTAATTTTCTAGAATCTGATTTCTTATATGGTCCTTTCTATTTAGAATTTGATGAAATATTCATGCACTCTTTAAAAAACATAATCACCTGCCTATGCTTAATTACCTGCTTAAGCACTTGATTAGAGTGGTTAAATGCATTAAAGTTATCACTGTAAATTCAGGTTTCTGATGAAATTCATACTTGCTTATTTATGCTCTATAGTCTTAGTATTTTAAGTTATTCTTTCAGTGAAAATAAACAGAATTCTAAACTAGGGTGCCAAGCAGGGAATCTAGTTTTCATTTGTTCAGCCATAAATTAAAAGCTTAACTCTAAGCGGATTAAGTTGTTGTTTACAGTTCTAAATCTAGAAGGGAGGTTCATGAGTACCTGATATTGTCTTACTCTTCATTTTTTTGAATTGCTCTGCTTATTGAAATGTAGCTTAAACTGTGAATATTTGCTGCACTAATTACAATCATTCTCACATTGTTGGCCCGAAAAATGAACTGCTGTCATTTAGCAATTTTTGTCATAAAATGCTACTACTGACTCATGGATGTCAACAATTATGGTGGACAGAAGTAATTTAAATATGTATTTCAACTTTCATCAGTTAATTATAGCTACTACAATTCAAATTCAACAGAAGACTTCTTATGAACCTTTGAAATATATTAATGAAAAAATAATTTCACTCTACTGGAGAATGAAAGACCAAGTCTCTAAAGAATATGCAGTTGAGCAAGAAATAAATGTAGAATGTAATATATGAGGTTTGGGGAAAAAGTCATTCAACTCTAAATAAAAAATATATAATCTTGTTTAAGCCTTTATTTTCATCTCCTATGGCAGATGTGTCTAGGACACTTTATTTCTGAGTATTCTATGATTTTTATTTGAAATATTAATAATTAAATAAAGAATAACTAAGTGATCATCCACTCTGGGAAACCATATTAATACTTTACATAGAAAAAAAAATCCTTTAATTTTCCCACTTCTATAGTGGATTAAAAGGATTTGGGGATAAATAAATTAAATAAACAAATTAAAGAAAAATATTAGGTCTTAACTCCAATTCTCCCCACCCCTTCCAACTTACATGTTATTTGGTCCAGTTGTTCAGATCTATCTTGCTTTTTAAAAAAAAAAAAAAAAAAAAAAGGATTTGGGGAAAAGTAGAATGTCTTAATGATATTTTTTCTTTTTAATTTATTTTTTAGAATGTCTTAATGTTTAAAATCTAAAACTTTGTGTCTTTAG